CTGTCGCTTCATGCTTGCTCATCCTGGACTGGTTCTTGGAACCTGTGTTAACCAAGCTGTACTTCCATCTTCCAGGTCCCTGAGTGAGCCTCTAGTATCAGCTATTTACAGCTCAAGCATACCGTCTCGGCAACCACTGACTGACCAACTTCATCTATCTCCACTGCACCACCAGTTTCAAGCCAAGGGGGAAACATCTCTGTTCTTTACTCCTGTTCATGCATATCAAACAACATTCAGTGCTATGTTTCCTGCTGAGGTCTGAGCGCCAAAAACTAAAGTAATTGTATCAATAAAATTCTTCTAATTGTCTTTTCATTCCATGTGAGTTTTTCAGATTGAACTGTCTGAACTCTGATACTCAAAGAAAAAATGTGTTATATTTAAGTCTAAAACTGTAATTAACTGTGATTATTTTTTTTCCTTTTTCCTTTATTTCCAAATCAAAGACAAAAAAAAAGTAAATTAAAGATTCTGTCTTTAATTTATAATTCGAGCTCATTATTTTTTATTTGTGTTTGAAATTAAAGTGGATGCCTGTATGACTCCATACTGTATGTTTTTTATGATTATAACTGAAGGATCCGGAAAAACAACTCTAATATCAGATGATGAAATAGCTTGAGCCAAGCATTCACTTTGTCCTTTGTAATAAATTTTTATTCAATTGACGGTGTTAATTGATTGAATGGTCAATAAATCAAATTTAGGATAGTTTAAGATTATTGTCTACTTCTTTTTTGTCTACTGGTTAAGCAATAAATCAAAACTGTAAAATATATTTTATATTTTAAGTAAAAGAAAAGTAAAAGTAAAAAATATTTTATATTTTAAGACGTGCATACCTATGTCAGAGGCAGTGACACGCAGCAGAACATAGCGGTGAGAAGATTAAATGCAAAAACATCGCCATCCTATATGTTGCTGGAGTCTCTGAGAAACTCAAGAGGATTTTCTCCAAACACAAAATCCCAGTACATCTCAAACCTAACCAGACCCTTAGACAGAGGCTAGTGCATAATAAAGATAAAACCCCCAGACCAAATATGAGCTGAGTAGTGTATGCAGTTCAATGCAGTGAGGAATGCACTCATCTTTATATTGGAGAAACCAAACAACCTCTCCACAGGCACATGACCAAACACAGAGGAGCAAACTCCTCCGGACAAGACCCTGTGGTACATCTACACCTTATGGACAAAGGACATTCTTTTCTCTTGTAACCTTTTTCTTGCGCTATACTGTAACTTGCTATGTTATTACCATCTTATTACATGTCTACTGATGTACTGTAAAAGAAAGCATACCATAGCTGTATCCTCGGTACTAATCTACTAAAATTGTTTAACATTTTCATTTTTGTCTTTGATGCTTTTAATTTAGTTTGGTTATTTTAAGTTTTTTTATATCGGTCAGTCATCAAATTTAAACAGTTGTG